GCGTGCCTGTAGTCCCGGCTACTCAGGAGGCTGAGGCAGGAGAATTGCCTGAACCCAGGAGGCGGAGGTTGCGGTGAGCCAAGATCGCGCCATTGCACTCCAGCCTGGGTAACAACAGCGAAACTCCGTCTCAAAAAAAAAAAGGAAGAGAACATGAACAATTTTTATAAAATTACCATGTGTGTTTGGAAAGATATATTCTCTCATTCTTGGGTATAGGAGTCTCTGACTCCCCATTCATCTTTCGGAGAATATCTCCATTTCTGCCTGCTCGGTCTATCAGTTCCTGAGAGATGGAAAGAATGCAGATGATGACTTTCTACTGTAATAATACATGTGGCAGCCATGGACCTATGCTGCTCAGCTTCCTCTTCAAAGGGACCTCCTGTGGGGAGTGTGCTGGGCCAACCGCCTTCAGACCACCATGGTATTCAAGCCAAAACCACATTCCTGTCCCTCTGACCCCAGTTACTCTCAGCCAGTGACTAATCACCAAGGGGGTACTGTGACCACAACTGCCTAGTGCGAGGGCTCTCTTACGAGGAGTCACTGCTCAGAGACTCTCCATCTGTCTGGCCAAGCTTGCTCAGAGTCCTGCTGCAGCCTGAGGCTTCCTCCTTCCCTATCTCCCTCCCTCCCTCCTTTAGAAGTCGGACCTGCCTTGCGGCCTGAAAGTTCTCCTAGCCTGCAGCTTCTTTGCCGCTTCCTTTTTTTTTTTTTTGAGACAAAGTCTTGCTCTCTCGCCAGGTTGTAGTGCAGTGGTGTGATATCGACCCACTGCAAACTCTACCTCCTGGGTTCAAGTGAATCTCCTGCCTCAGCCTCCCAAGTAGCTGGGATTACAGGCACATGCCACCACACCCTGCTAATTTTTGTATTTTTAGTAGAGATGGGGTTTCACCATGTTGGCCAGGATGGTATCGATCTCTTGACCTCGTGATCTGCCAACCTCAGCCTCCCAAAGTGCTAGGATTACAGGTGTGAGCCACTGCACCCGGCCTTGCTTCTGTTTTTTTTGAGACAGGGTCGCACTCTGTCTCCCAGGCTGGAGGGCAGTGGCATGATTACTGCTCACTGTAACCTCGACTTCCAGGGCTCAATATGATCCTCCTGCCTCAGCCTCCCAGGTGACTGGGACCACAGGCATGTGCCTCGATGCCTGGCTAATTATTTTATTTTTTGTAGAGATGGGGTCTCCCTATGTTGCTCAGCCTGGTCTCAAACTCCTGTGCTCAAGCAATCCTCCCACCTCGACCTCCCAAAGTGCTGGGGTTATAGGCGTGAGCCACCATGCCCAGCCCCTAGCCCGCTTCTGCACTCTCCCCTTCATCCTCGTGTATCTAATGTGTATCTAATCTAATCTCTTGTGTATCTAATGCCATCTTGGCATTTATTTCATGGAATCCAAACTAGCCCAGGGAATTTGTTCATTTCTCCTTGTAATTGTGGCAATTCTTGACATATTTTGGGGTGCACAGAAGTTCAATTTCTTATATATTCTTGATGAATTGTTCCTATTATTATATATAACAATCCTCCTAATTCTGAATAACACAATTTATTCCATATCTATGCCCCTGAACAATACATAGTATCGTTCTATATTTTTTCAACTTTAAAGTTACTGTTTTGAAGTATTCCTCTCCAATTTATGTTTCTGAGATTTATTCATGTAGATACATATAGGTGCAGTTTATTTTTACTGCTTTACATTAATCTGTTGTCTGCATAAAACACAATGTATTTATCTCCTCTGCCACTGAAGGACAGTGTTTTGTTGAAGATGGAGTTTTGCTCTTGTTGTCCAGGCTGGAGTACAATGGTTCAATCTCTGCTCACCGCAACCTCTGCCTCCCGGGTTCAAGCAATTCTCCTGCCTCAGCCTCCTGAGTAGCTGGGATTACAGGCATGCACCACCATGCCCAGCTAATTTGTATTTTTAGTAGAGACAAGGTTTCTCCATCTTGGTCAGATTGGTCTCAAACTCTTGATCTCAGGTGATCCTCCCACCTCGGCCTCCCAAAGTGCTGGGATTATAGGCATGAGCCACTGTGCCTGGCCCAGAAAGGTTTTTTAAAATGTAAATATAGTCAGATCTTTCACTCATTTAATTTATAACTTGTACGTTTAGTGTCTTATTTAAGAAATCTTTTGCTACTCCAAGGCTGTAAAAATTTATCCTGGCCAGGCATGGTGGTTCAGGCCTATAATTTCAGCAAATTGAGTGGCTGAGGAGTTCAGGACCAGCCTGGACAACATAATGAGACCCCATCACCACAAAAAGAGAATACAATTACCTGGTCATGGTGGTGTACACCCGTAGTCCCGGCTACTCAGGAGGCCGATGCAGGAGGACCACTTGAGCCCAGGATGTTGAGGTGGTAGTGAGCCTTGGATGCACCACTGTGATGTAACTTGGGCAACAGAGCAAGACCCTGTCTCAAAAAGAAAAAAAAAAACTGATCATATTTGGGCCTCTGATTTTTTGTGTGTGTGATATGAAGTTGGAATCCAATTATATTTTCTCCCATTTGTAAAACAGATGGTCCCAGTATGATTTGCTGAATACTGCCAGTTTTTAGACCCTAAGCGAATTGTTGTTGTTAGTATTGTATGATGGGGTCAATGGCTGCTTGGGTCCATTCACCTTTTTTCAGTGTCTTTGCTCACTACTATTTCCATTTGGGAATTCCTTCTCAATATTTTTTCACAAATTTATATTTTTTTCAAATGCTGAAATCCAAGAAAAATCAGGGGGAAAGGATTAGAAAACCCTATGAGAATTAAGGCTTAATGGAAATAGAAATGTTTTTGGTTCAGGCCAGATGCAGTGGTTCACGCCTGTAATCCCAGCACTTTGGGAGGCCAAGGCGGGAGGATCACCTGAGGTCAGGAGTTTGAGATCAGCCTGGACGACATGGTGAAACCCCATCTGTACCAAAAATACAAAAAATTAGCTAGGTGTGATGGTACGCATCTGTAGTTTCAGCTATTGGGGAGGCTAAGGCAGGAGAATCACTTGAACCTGGGAGGTGGCAGTTGCAATGAGCCAGGATTGCACCGGTGCACTCAAGCCGGAGCTACAGAGTAAGAATCCATCTCAAAAACAAAAATAAAAAAAAGAAGGCACCTTGCCCACAGCTGTTGCCAGGTTGTGACCATGGCCCTGTCTGCTGCTGCAAGACATTCTTGCAAATAAAATAATTATTAACTTGTCTGGCTGCATAATATACCTTACGTAAATTCTATCATATCAGCGGTGTTCCAAGAACAAGTTTGGAAATCAAAATAAGTCTTGCCGGGCATTGGTGGCTCACGCCTGTAATCCCAGCATCTGGGAAACTGAGGTGGGCAGGTCATGAGGTCAGGTGTTCAAGACCAGCCTGACCAACATGATGAAACCCTGTCTCTACTAAAAATACAAATATTAGCCTGGTGGTGTAGCACGTGCCTGTAATCTCAGCTACGTGGGAGGCTGAGACAGCAGAATCACTTAACTGGGAGGTGGAGGTTGCAGTGAGCCAAGATCATGCCACTGCACTCCAACCTGGGCGACAGAGCGAGACTTCATCTCAAAAAAAACCCCAAAAAACAAAGTAAGTCTTAAAATCGGCAACTTTGACACATGAAGTACTGTTAACCTTGCTAGGAAATCCAAATATTACATTATTTGAATATTGTCCAATAATGATCACTAGCTTTTCCCGTGTTGTGATATGCCCTATAGGCTACATTTCATTATAAACAGTATTAAGCTTCATGTTTCTTATTTGTTAAATACGTTTTTAGGTAATTGGGTTGAGTATGAATCATATTGGAAATATTTTAGGAATAACTTATGATTTGGGGAATTCCCAAGAATTCCTAGGAATTCTGATTTCTTATTCCTGAATCGTAAAGTTTAATATCTGTCAGAATTTGGAAGCAGCTCTGCTCACTTGAGGCAATGCTGCTTACTTGAAAAGCACATCGTTGCTTCTATTTTTAGATTTTTTATTCTGTCAAAAGAGAGCTGGAGTAATGTCATAATTTTTTTTAGAGAAGGGGGTCTCAATGTTGGCCAGGCTCAGGTACGTGGCACAGTCGTGGCTCACTGAATCCTCAACCTCCCTGGCTCGGGGGAACCTCCTGACTTAGCCTCCTGAGTAGCTGGGACTACAGGTGCACACCACCACGCTCGGCTAATTTTCAAATTTTTTGTAGAGATGGAATCTCACTATGTTGTGCAGGCTGGTCTTGGAACTTTTGGCCTCAAGTGATCCTCCTGCCTCAGCCTCCCAAAGTGCTGAGATTACAGTAATGAGCCACCACATCTGGTTCTCCACTACCGCTTCCTAGGTTGGTATAGCATAGTGTTTAAGAATGTGGGCTTCTGGCTGGGCACGGTGGCTCACGCCTGTAATCCCAGCACTTCGGGAGGCTGAGGTGGGTGAATCACAAGGTCAAGACATCGAGACCATCTGGCCAACATTGTGAAACCCTGACTTACTAAAAATGCAAAAATTAGCTGGGCGTGGTAGGGTGTGCCTATAGCCCCAGCCACCCAGGAGGCTAAAGCAGGAGAATTGCTTGAACACAGGAGGTGGAGGTTGCAGTGAGCTGAGATCACACCACTGCACTCCAGCCTGGTGATAGAGGGAGACTCTGTCTCAAAAAAGAAAGAAAAAGAATGTGGGCTTTTGCAGCTACACTTTGACCTGTGACCTTGGGCAAGTTTTAACCCCTCTGTGACTCAGTTTCCCCATCTGTGAAGGGAATATGATAGTAATTGCATCAAGTTCTAAGGGTTAACACGAGAATTAAATAAATAAGAGGCCGGGCGTGGTGGCTCACACCTGTAATCCCAGCACTTTGGGAGGCCAAGGTGGGCGGGTCACCTGAGGTAAGGAGTTCAAGATCAGCTTGGCCAACATGCTAAAACCCCATCTTTACTAAAAAATACACAAAGCCGGGTGTGGTAGCAGGCACCTGTAATCCCAGCTACTCAGGGAACTCAGGCAGGAGAATCACTTGAATCTGGAGGTTGCAGTGAGCTGAGATTGTGCCATTGCACTCCAGCCTGGGTGACAGGGTAAGACTCTGTCTCAAAAAAAAAAAAAAAAAGAATTAAATAAATAAGAAAAGGTCCCTAGAACAGTGCCTGGTCTGTAGCAACCACTCAATAAATGAGACTTCTTATTCTTGTTTTCAAGTCTTTTCTTCCCCTGGGTTGACTTTTCTCTTTCATGAAGTACATTTTTACTGGTACCGCACTGCCAGTGAGCAGGGAAAATGGCCTCTGTCTTCATTCTAAAATACATATATTTTTGCCCTCATCCTAGAACAGTAATTTAAGCATAGGATTCTAGGCTGACAATTCCTTTGAAGACACTGTTTAGCCATCTTTGGAGATTTTGGTTGGGTTGAGAAGTCTTCTGTCAGCAGGATTGTTACCTGGAGGTCAGGTGTCTTTTTTTTCTGGTTGTTCCTGTGGTTGTCTTCTTGTCTTTTGTATCTTACAGTTTTCTGTATTTTCAGGAGAGATGGGGTTTCGTTACATTGGCCAGGCTGATCTCGAACTCCTGACCTCAGGTGATCCTCCCACCTCAGCCTCCCAAAGTGCTGGGACAAACCATCAATTCGAGGTGATGGGAGCAGTGGCAGAGGTAAGCCAGGATACTACAGGACTCACCGAGGGTGACAGAAACTTCCTGGAGACAGCGAAGTTAGAGCTCGGCTTTATATGATAACTAGGAGTTGGCTGGGAGACAGTGGTGGCAGTAACATCCTGGTAGAAGAGACAGCTTGTGGAAGGTCACGGGTGTCACAGAGCATGGTGGTGCCTGAGAGAAGCAGTAAGAAGTTTGGTATAGCTAAAGATTGAGGTCACGTGGAGGACCAGCTCCAGCAGGGTTTGGGTGCCCTACAGTCTTCTCCCTGTAATTCTCATGCACTTAAAAAGCAAACAAACAGACCAAGTGTGGTGCCTCATGCCTGTAATCCCAACACTTTGGGAAGCTGAGGCAGGTGGATCACCTGAGGTCAGGAGTTTGAGACCAGCCTGCCCATGGTTGAAACCTCAGCTCTACTAAAAATGCAAAAATTAGCTGGGTGTAGTGGCGTGCCCCTATAATCCCAGCTACTTGGGAGGCTGAGGCACGAGAACTGCTTGAACCCGGGAGGCAAAGGTTGCAGTGAGCCAAGATCACGCCATTGCACTCCAGCCTGGGTGACCGAGTGAGACTCCATCTCAAACAAACAGCTTTATTGAGATTTAACTTACATATGGTAAAATGCACCTGCTTGAAGTATGCAAGTCCATGGGTTTTAGTATACTGACAGAGTTGTGTCACCATAACTTCAGGACATCCCACAGAAAAGCCCTCTGGGCAGGGTTTTTGACAGGGTCACAGCCTGCCCAAATTATATCTCTCGTCAGTTTGGCAGCAGAGCAGAGACGGGCTTGAAGGGGACAATGGGGGCCCTCATCGAGCCAAGAACATGAGCAATCGCTCAGCAGTGATTGTGCACAAAGGCTAAAGATTTATAGCAGTGACGGGGGAAATACACTCCATCTCTTAGATTCTTCTTTGCCAGGAAAAGAATTAGGTTATGAAGACGCACGTCATTTTTTGCTGGTTGGCTATTTAGTGGTGGTTCTACAAATCAGTATTATGGATGATGTTGCTTATTTACAAAGAAAAAATGACAGATCGGCTGTATCACAGCGAAATCCAGAATGCTGAAGTTTCTACAAAATGGGAACACTACAGAGCACTGTCCAGCACGTTTCCTGCAGCAAAACCCCAAGCTGGTGTGGACCAAATCAAGGCCACAGGCTCTGTCCTTGAAGGCTCTTCAGGGGGCTGCATTCACACTGAAGTGCTGAGTCACCCATGAATCCTGTGTTGTGAGGAGGGCTGCCTCCGTCCAGCGCAAGTCCAGGCTCCTTAGAGAGGAAAGGATCAGAGACAGGTGCACCTCTGCAGTGGCTTTGCCGTCAGGGGGTCTCATTTGAGCCTGTTGCAGCGGTCATTGATCAGTTAGGTTTTTTTTTTTTTTTTCTTTGAGATGCAGTTTTGCTCTTGTTGCCCAGGCTGGAGTGCAATGGTGCAAACTTGGCTCACTGCAACCTCCACCTCCTGGGTTCAAGTGATTCTCCTGCCTCAACCTCCAGAGTAGCTGGGATTACAGGCATGCGCCACCAAGCCCAACTAATTTTGTATTTTCAGTAGAGACGGGGGAGCGGGGGAAAGAAAAGAAAGAAATAGCCAAAAGAACTCTGGCTAATAAATGAATAAATAAAAGGAAAAAAAGAGATGGGGTTTCTCCATGTTGGTCAGGCTGGTCTTGAACTCCCGACCTCAGGTGATCCTCCCGCCTTAGCCTCCCAAAGTATTGGGATTACAGGTGTGATCCACTGCACACGGCTAATTAGTTAGGTTTTTTAAACTGCAATGAAAAATAAAAACAAAACTAAATTAAACTGGCTTTACCAGTGCAAGGGACTGTAGTCTGACATCATATTCAACTATGGTCATGTGAAAAGCCTCTCTTTACAAAAACAGAGAAATTCACAATAAAAATCTCACTAAATAAAGTGCCAGTGCATGGCTGAGTTAGCAAGAAAGAACAGAATATCCCCAGGGGCCAGAAACGAAGAGGGAGAAGCCAGCGTGGTGAGCACAGGGCTCTGTCCCACAGCTGCCTCCAGGAGGCACGTAAGAGGAGGCAAGGGTTATCAGAGCCAGCAACCCAGGGGCTTTGGTTGTGGTGGCTGCGTTGAGGCTGAAGGTAAGATCTTCAGCTGACAGAAGTAGAGAGTTGAAACTATGCCTCCTTGCAAAAGCCAGACTCCTCTGAGGGCAGATTTCTCAGTGAAAGATGGGCTAGAAAAAACCTACCCTCTGGCACAGGGATATAACAAAAAGCTTGTTTATCATTGCAGGGGCATAGAGCAGTGGGGACCTGGGACACATTCTACAAAAGGATCCCTTGAAAAATCCAAGCCTCATGTCTGTACTTTGAGGGGGTTTGAGGTCCAAATTTGTACTCCATGCATGGTCTGGGATTCCTATGCCAAGAGAAGAGAATTGGTGCCAGGCTGGTGATAACCCTGGGCCACCTGGTGAAGCAGCTGCAGAATGGCTCTGGAGGGGCATTTTTACAACCCCAGCAGCAGGAAATTCCCACACAAAAAACAAGCTCCCCCGAAAATGAGCTCACAATCAAATCTCAGTACACACAAGGAAAGGGGTCAACAGGAGCACACGGACAGGTGCTACACACAGAAGGAACAGAGGCCGAGGTTCTGAGATAACAGAACAGCAGGCCAAAAGAGTATCGAATACAAATGTTCATGACGATTAAAGGCCAAAGGAAAACATTCAAACTCTCAAGAAGATAGTGATACATCATGACACCAAGAACAGATAAATTCTTTTTTTCTTTTTTTGAGACGGGGTCTTGCTCTGTCACCCAGGCTGGAGTGCAGTGGTTCAGTCTCAACTCACTGCAACCTCTGCCTCCTGGGCTCAGTGATCCTCTCACCTCAGCCTCCTGGGACTACAGGCGCATGACATCATGCCCAGCTAATTTTATTATTTTTTTTTTGAGATAGCGTCTCAACCCGTCACCCAGGCTGGAGCGCACCTCCCGCCTCAGACTCCTGAGTAGTTAGGACTACAGGCGCAAGCCACCAACCACAGGTTACATTTTTTTTTTTTTTTTTTTTTTTTTTTTTTGAGACAGAGTTTCATTCTTGTTGCCCAGGCTGGAGTGCAATGGCGGGATCTCGGCTCACCGCAACCTCCACTTCCCGAGTTCAAGCGATTCTCCTGCCTCAGCCTCCCAAGTAGTTGGGATTACAGGCACCCGCCACAACACCCAGCTAATTTTTTGTATTTTTGGTGGAGGCAGGGTTTTATCACGTTGGCCAGGCTGATCTTGCAGTCCTGACCTCAGGTGATCCGCCCACCTTGGCCTCCTAAAGTGATGGGATTACAGGCGTGAGCCACCACTTCTGGCCTTTTTGTATTTTTCTAGAGACAGAGTTTTGCCATTTGCCCTGGCTGCTCTTGAACTTCTGAGCTCAAGCAATCCACCCAGCTCCGTCTCCCAAAATGCTAGGATTTCAGGAGTGAACCACCACACCTGGCTAGATGACAGATTTGAACAATACTTATGGATGAAATGACATGGAGTCTGAGATTTACCTCAAAATAATTCAGAGTGGGGAGCTGTGGGAAGGAGCACGGACTAAACAAGACGGGATATAGGTCGATACTTGTTGAAAGTGAATAAGAACTACACAGGGCCGGGCACCGTGGCTCGCGCCTGTAATCCCAGCGCTTTGGAAGGCCAAGGTGGGAGGATTGCTTGAGCCCAGCAGTTTGAGACCAGCCTGGGTAACATAGTAAGATGCCATCTCTATAAAAAATAAATGAATAAGCCAAAAAAAGGTTCATAAATACATAGAGCTTTATTCTACTGTCTCTAATCTTATATACATTTGGATTTTCTATAATAAAAATTATGAAACAAACAAAACATAAAGCTCCAAGTAGAGCTTCTAGAAATAAACAATATCAATAATGAAATTTAACACTTAGGACAGGCTTACTGGCAGATTGGACACAGATGAAGAGAGAATTGATAAACTCGAAGATATGAAAAAAAAAATCCAGAATGTAGAGAGAGAAATAGACAAAAAAATTTTAAAACTTCAGGAGAGACTGAGAGATTAAGACACGCAGAGAATAAATGGAAATATATGCTGCTCATTTAATGGGAATTCCAAAAGAAAACAAGAGGAGTCGGGTATGGCGGCTCACGCCTGTAATCTCAGCACTTTGGGAGGCCGAAGTGGGAGGATTACCTGAGGTCAGGAGTTCGAGATCAGCCTGGCCAACATGATGAAACTCGGTGTCTACTGAAAATACAAAAATTAGCCAGGCATGGTGGCGCACACCTGCAGTCCGCATCTCTATGACCTGTCTTGGCGCCTGGTACCTCCAAGATGTCGGTATTTGCTCAACTGGCCCCAGCTGATCTCGTGGGTCTCTCTATTGAACATTGAGCCCGCTACCAAAAGCAGGTGCTGCAGCCGAGGAGCATGTAGGTAGCGCCAGCTCACCTGGAGCTACGGAAACACGAGACCCTAATTCCTTCCTCGCCCTCCTCTTTTGCTTTTTCTTAACCTCTGATTTCACAGTTACCAATTAGCAATTTGGAAGAACCACCTTCCTTGTCTTTCTGAAATGCCTCTCTGCTAAGGTACCTTTCTCTTGGGGTAAAAAGCTAGGGGACTGCATGTACTAAGTGAATGGGGGAGGGGAGCCAATTAACATTCAGCTAAGAGAAAAAATGATTTCTCCTATCAGCAGTAAAAACTGACAGCTCTATCAGAAAATGAGCCGGGGGAGCCACAAAGCCTGGCAAGGCAGGGCGGGGAGGGAAGGCGTCTGCAGGCCTAATCAGGAGCGATAAAGATGGCTAAGGGCCGAGTCCGCTGCTGGGAGCCAGGGGATCACTCAGGCATCCAAAGGAGCTACCTCAGGAGGTGGAACCGTTGCCATCCACCTCGTCCCTCCTGTCTGAGCCGGCCCCAGGCACAAGCACTGGTACTGCTCAGGTTTTATACCTGAAACTTAGAGCTCTGACTCTCCTAACGGCCTCTCCCTGTGCACTCATTTCCTCTGACCTTATCATAAAAGGCGGCCACGTGACATCTATTTATGGCAGTGGGATGGTCTGGGGAGAGGAGGCTCCCTGCGCCAACTCCAGGGCTGATGAAATTGCCCTGGCCCTCTGGATCTCTCCCTGCCAGGAAGGAACAAACAGGTTTGGGGGCGGGGTGGTGAAATCAAATTCCAGCGTTATCTGACATACAAGTTCCTTCTTGAGTGCCACATAGGTAATTTGTTATAAATCGGAGCTTAAAAACCGGATCGGATTTCACAGAGCTCAATTCCATCCGTTTAAGATGAGAAGACGTGCAGAGAAGGACGGAGAGAAAACACCCTCATTCAGCCCGGCAGAGAAGAGAGTTAGCTTTTAAAAAAGTAACCATTGATCTTCTGCTTGAAATATAAGCGCATTTTGCTAAAAAAAAAAGAGGATGCCAGTGAGATTGAGACAGCAAGTGACGAAGAGAGCGCTAAGACTAGAGCAGGTTATTTGTTTTAATTGGAAAGAGCAAGAGGCAGTTTTCGGTCATGTTTTGTGTACAGTTCCAGGCCATGTGCCCTCTCTCATATACAATAATGAAACATAAAGACATGCGAACAAGTTCAGTGCCTGAGAGCATCGACGCCTCCCTCGAGGCATCTGTGTGCCCAGCACGAGCATGTAGGAAAAAGGAACAGTCTCAGGGAGCTCGTGCAGGGATTTGATTTCTCCACACACTTGTCTTCAGCAGACACTAATGGGGGAACGCGGGGAGGTCCAGACCTGGCATCTTCAGAGACCATAGCTGCGGGGCTATGGTTTTCTGAATCACTCCCAAATGCTTTTGAACTGGGATTTTTTTAAAATTAGGTTTCTTGTCTAAAATGTTCTACTTTTTTCTGTGTTCTTAGTACAGGAAGTATAACGAGGAAGTTAAGCATTTAGTACTCAAGCATTGGGACTGGCACAGTGGCTCCCGCCAGCAATCCCAGCACTTTGGGAGGCTGAGGCGGGTGGATCACCTGAGGTTGAGAGTTCGAGACCAGCCTGGCCAACAGGGCAGGACCCCATCTCTACTAAAAATACAAAAATTAGCTGAGTGTGGTGGCATGCACCTGTAATCCCAGCTACTCAGGAGGCTGAGAGAGGGGAATTGCTTGAACCAGGGAGGTGGAGGTTGCAGTGAACCTGGGCGACAGAGCGAGACTCCATCTAAAAAAACAAAACAAAACAAAACACTGTGCTAAGTGCCAAGGGCAGGCAGAAGGCAAGGAGGGAGATGGAGAGTTTTGGGAGGGGACTCTTTTAGATGGGGTGGCTGGGAAAGGCCTCTTTAGGAAAGTAACATTTTAATAAAGCCATAAGAGGTGCAAAGCTGTGAGCGTGGGTGACACAGACCCCACCTTCAGGCCTGAAAGTACCAGGACTGGGAGGAAAAGCAGCCCCCACTCAAGAAGGCAGCAGCGGTGCACAGAGAAAAACAACGCTGCAAAATTCGTGTCTATCCCTTGGAGCAGAGCAGATCAGATGCAGCTTCAGCTGCTGGGAGCTGGTCCCTGGCTTGTGCCACCCTCCTCCCCGCCCTGGCCTGGAGTCCTGCAGCGTGACCCAGAAACAGTGCCAGCAGCCAGGCCTGAGGAAGTGGTGCCTGGCCGTGCAGACACAGCTGGTTGGAGGGAACCCTGGACAGGGCCACACGATGACTTTTCTGGGACCCTTCCTCCACTAAAAAAAAAAAAAAAAAAAAAAAAGTAAAAACTGTATATTATGGCTGCATGGCTACAAAGATGAATCTAACCAGACTGGGCTGGTAATAAATCATTTACATTTTTTTTTCTGGTTTTAATAAAATGAAAACATTTTTGTGGGTCCACAGTGCCCTCAGACACGGTACTTGCTGAGCAGAATGAGGATGTGGGCTCTGGAGTTGGTGTCACGAAGCTCTTGCTTCTTCCTTTGCAGGATCAGCAAGGGGTCACTCTGCCTTTCCCCATGGCAAAGAAACTTCCCATGGGCACCTGCGCATACCCCAGGCCTCCTCCCTGCCAAAGCAGGAATTCCTGTGCCACCTCCTGGGGAGGGCAACCCAGCAAATGAGCCCCCTTGCATGGGTGGGAGTTGGTGACTGTTCTGTTTTCTGCAATAGTTCATGTTTTTGTTTTTTTTTTTTTTAAAGACATGGTATCACCATGTTGGTCAGGCTGGTCTTGAACTCCCGACCTCAGGTGATCCACTGTGCCCGGCCGTTTTTTTTTTTTTTTTGAAGCAGAATCTCACACTGGCGCCTAGGCTGTAGTGCAGTGGCTCAATCTCAGCTCACTAATCTCTGCCTCCTGGGTTCAAACAATTCTGCCTCAGCCTCCCTAGTAGCTGGGACTACAGGTGTGCACCACCACACCCAACTAATTTTTTTGTATTTTTAGTAGAGAAGGGGTTTCACCAAGTTGGCCAGGATGGTCTTGATCTCCTGACTTCATGACCCACCCACCTCAGTCTCCCAAAGTGCTGGGATTACAGGCCTGAGCCCCCGAGCCCGGCCCTTTTCTTTTTTTTGGGATGGAGTCTCCCTCTGTCGCCAGGCTGGAGTGCAATGGCGTGATCTCAGCTCACTGCAATCTCTGCCTCCTGGGTCCAAGAGATTCTCCTCAGCCTCCCGAGTAGCAGGGACTACAGGCACGCACCACCACACCCAGCTAATTTTTTTGTGTGTTTTTAGTAGAAAAGCGGTTTCACCATGTTGGCCAGGATGTTCTCAATGTCTTGACTTCGTGATCCACCTGCCTTGGCCTCCCAAAGTGCTGGGATTACAGGTGTGAGCCACTGTGCCCGGCCACAATGGTTCATTTTTTGCATCAACTTGACGGAGCCATGAGGTGCCCAGTATTTGGCTCCACATTATTCTGGGTTTGTGGTGAGGGTGTTTCCAGCGAGATAAGCATTCAAATTGGTAGACTGAGTAAAACAGAGGGCCCACCCCAGTGCGGATGTGCCTCATCCAATCCTACCAAAGCCTGAATAGAGCAAAAGACAGACTAAGCCAAGTGTGGACGCAGCTGGTAGTCCCAACTATGCTGGAGGCTGAGGCAGGAGGATCGCTTGAACCCAGGAGTTCGAGACCAGCCTGGGCAACATGGTGAGACCTCATCTCTACAAAAAGCTTTTGAAAAATTAGCCAGGCGTGGCACACTTGTAGTCCCAGCTACCCAGGAGGCTGAGGCAAGAGGATCATTTGAGCCCAGGAAATTGAGGCTACAGTGAGCCACATTCATACCACTGCACTCTAGCTCTAGCCTGGGCAGCAGGGAAAGAGCCTGTTTTTTTACCAAAAACAAAAAAAAGCCAAGCGCGGTGGCTCACTCCTATAATCCCAGCAGTTTGGGAGGGTGGGTGGATTACCTGAAGTCGGGAGTTTGAGACCAGCCTAGCCATCATGGTGAAACCCTGTCTCTGCTAAAAATACAATTAGCAGGGCATAGCGGCAGGCACCTGTAACCCCAGCTGCACGGGAAGCTGAGGCCGGAGAACTGCTTGAACCTGGGAGGTGGAGGTTGCAGTGAGCTGAGACTGCACCACTGCACTCTAACCTGGTGACAAAGTGAGACTCCATCTCAAAAAAAAAAAAAAAAAGGAAAAGAAAGAAAAAGTAAGAATTCGCTCTGTCGGCCTGACTGTGAGCTGAGCAGGTACACTGGTCTTCTCCTGCCTTTGAACTTAGACTGCAATGGCACTGTCAGTGCTCCTGGTTTTTTTCTGCTTGCTGACTGCAGATCCTGACTGCCAAACCTTCTCAGCCTGAGCTGGGCCAGGGCTCAGGGTAATTAGATGGGGCAGGTGGGGCTTCCCAGCAGCAATTTTTGGGCAAGTCAAGCTAAGACACCTCCCTGAGAATTGCTCTGCAGAGAACTGCCAACTCCAGGCAGTAAGAGGTGAAGCTGCCACACCTTTGCCTAATTCAGGAACACAGAGTCTTTGCCTTTAGAAATTCTCTCTGCTGTTGAGGGTGGAATGGAAATAAATATAATGTTTCATACAAAGCAAAAAAATATGATATAAGGATTTTGGGCTGGGCTGGGTGGTTTACCCCTGTAATCTCAGCACCTTAGGAGGTCAAGGTAGGAGGATCCATTGAGCCTGGGATTTTGAGACTAGTCTGAGCAACATAGTGAGATCCTATTTCTTTTAAAAAAGAGAGAGAGAGAGAGAGAGAGAGAGAGAGAGGACTTATTTAAAGTCTTATTTTGGCACTTACTGTTGATTTCCAATTATTCAGGATTCAATCATCCAGTCTGAGCACCACTGAAGCCTTTTCTAGGCAGTTTTGATCCATCTTTTCATTGACACTAATCTTGGTACTTCCTAATATTAATGAAAATAAAAGGAAACAAGAGTGAAACAACAATTTTACCTTCCTCTATTAGCTTCTGAGGGAGAAGGCAGACAAGAGAAGGCTGGGTGACCAGCTGGCATTCGCTTCCCTGTCAGGTTATCTCGACATCCCCACATTGTGGAAAGGACCCTGAGAGCTGACCATGCCTGCGTCTTGGCTCACTGCAACCTCCGCCTCCCGGGTTCAAGCAATGCTCCCTGCCCCAGCCTCCTGAGTAGCTAGGATTACAGGTGCGTGCCACTACACCTAGCTGTTTTGTATTTTTAGTAGAGATGGGGTTTTGCCATGTTGGCCAGGCTGGTCTCAAACTCCTGACCTCAGGTGTTCCATCAGCCTTGGCCTCCCACAGTGCTGGGATTATAGCAGTGAGCACCGTGCCCGGCCTTTTTTTTTTTTTTTTTTTTTTTTTTTTAAGAGACAGGCTCTTGCCTTGTTGTCCAACCAAACCTCTTAGCAAGTCGGACTTACAGACCATTAGAAACCCAATCAGGAACTCAAAAGCCTCACTCCCAGGTATACACCCAAGAGAAGTGAAACGTACATTCACACAAACACCTGTACGTGAATGTTATGGCAGCTTACTGATAATCATCCGAACCTGGAAATCACCCGCATCCTTTACCTGGTGAATAGGTAAATACACTGCACTCTATCCAGACAGTGGAACACTACTCAGCAATGAAAAGGAACCATAGGACAATGTGAGTGAGCCTCAAATCATGACACTCAGAGAAAGAGCCTAGACTCACACAACCCCATTTCCAGGATTCACTGGAAAAGCAACGGGAGAACAGAGCAGTGGTTGCTGGGGCAGCAGGGGGGTTCTGGGAGTGACGGGATGTTCCCTGTCTTGACTGTGGTCATGGTGACAGGACTCTATGCATTTGAACTACATACCAAAAAAAGTGAATTTTACTGTGTGTACCTTGAAGCCTATTTAACCATTAAAAAAGAAAAATCGTGGCGGCCTATGCCTGTATTACCAGCACTTTGCGAGGCCGAGGTGGGCATATCACAAGGTCAGGAGTTCAAGACCAGCCTGGCCAACATGGTGAAACCCCATCTCTACTAAAAATACAATTTAGCAGGGCGTGGTGGTGGGCGCCTGTAATCCTAGCTACTCTGGAAGCAGAGGCAGGAGAATTGCTTGAACCCAGAAGGCAGAGGTTGCACTGAGCCAAGATCATGCCACTGCACTCTAGCCTGGGCAACAGAGTGAGAAGCCTCAAAAAAAAAAGAAAAGAAAAGGGCACAGGGCTGAGCATGGATTTCAGATGCCCTATTTCAGGAGAAACAAACAAGTCCAGATTCTCCTGGCTGTGGCTCTGCGCTTTAGATGTTTGCAGAGTCAGAAGAGTGACGAAGGTTACAGGTGAGCCTGCGGGAGTAGACACCTTTGCGGAAGCGGGACTGGAGGAAATTAGCTTTTTCTGTATAGGTTTTTGGATGATGTCACTTTGTGATCTCTATTTGCTATGGCACCAGCAACCCTCACTGGGTCCTTGGCTCTGCCCTGTTCTGTTCTGCCTCCTCCTTTGCCAGTGGGGTTTCTACCTGAGCTCTGCGTCAGGGTCCAACCCAGCAACCTGCAGCCCTGAGGTCTGTAGGTCCCCATGTGGGCACTCTTGACCTCCTAGGCTTCACCGACCTGCAGACCTCCTCGCCAGTCACTCATGAACTTGGCTGAGGCACAGCTTTTCAGATCCCTGGGGACCCCTCCTCTCTTCTCTCCCACGGGGTTCTTGTGAAGCTCGAGGGAGAAAATGGTTGACAAACGGTTTTGCAAAACTAGGATTGGCTACCAAATGGGGAAGCTTATTACTGAAGACACAGATGCAGAACATTCAAGCAGGGAGCCATCAATCTCCTCTGCTGTCAGGAAGGCTGGGGGAAGGGCGGTGGGACCCAAGACAGCAGGAGCCGGATGCCACCGAGTTCTCAAAGACCTCATCTACCCCAGCCCTTCCTGTCCGGCCTCCAGGGGGCACTGGATCTCCACCCAGTGCGTGACCCTCTGCCCAAGCATTTGGTGGACCACCCCCCAACACACACACACACACACACACACACACACACACACACACACACACATCCCTCAGTGAGATTCTGGCAGAGGGGAGAGAGCCAGGGGCCATGGGGACCCAGGGGTGAGAAAGGGGCTGGCAGAGAGCAGGGTGTCCACCCAGAGTCAGGTTCAGGGTCACATTGATGTGTGGCCAGGGTGCAACACAGAATTCTGCAAGATTCAGAACATCCCTCAACCACCACATTTTCAGAAAATGGATGAAAAGCTGATCAAACAGACATTTGATGCCAGGATGAAGAGGAGCTGGATCCTGCATCATTGAGCTGGAGGCAAAGTGCGGGCTGGAGTTCCCCACAGCTGGAGCAGGAGTCCTCTGTCATCCATCTAGTCTGAAGCAGGAAATGCAAGAAGGCCCTTGGTGCCTCCTCCTTGGAGCCCGAGCCCGGCTGCTGAGAGCCCAGGGTGTACGGGGGCAGGTTCAGGCTGGGGCAGCGGGACTCTGGGAGCTGGGCTTGCTGGTCCAAGCAACTTGGAGCACAGGCCAGTTTGCAGTTCAGCTCAGAATCCTGATTCAGAAAAACCACCACTTCTCCATGCCTGGGGAGATACGTGAACCCCCCAAACTGGGCTCCTGGGGCCACCCCAGCAAAACCCTAAATGACAGAATTGCCCAGAGAGAAGTTGGCAGGCCTGTTAGCGAGACTAACCCCATACTCACCCATGCCCTCTTCTAGTTCACAGGGCACTTTTGTAGCAGGGGAATATGAACTATTCTTGCTAATGAGCATGGTGACGCTCACAGGACCCGCACCGATTGTCCAACGCCCCACAGTTAGGAAGCGGCAGAGCGGGGCCTTTAACACCCAGATCTCGTGCCTCTGAGTCCTAAACAGTTGCTTCAGAGGCTGAGCCTTCTGAGGGAGATGATAAAACAGGAGTTTGGCTGCTGAGCCCTCTTTGGGCACTTTCTCTAGAAGAGCCAAAAAGTGGTCCCCAGGTGCTACTTGCTTGTATGTGCCTGCTAAGTCAGTGCTGTTCAGTAAAAAGAAAGTGTTTTGGTTTTTGCTGCTGAATTGTAATATGTAATTGCAATGCGTGTACATGGTCATGTTTCTGTAAAGCTTGCAGAGGTGAGACATCAGTTAGTCACACCAAGCCAGCTTGGTGGCACACCACATGCCTGTAGTCCCACTGCTCAGGAGGCTGAGGTGGGAGGATGGCTTGAGCCCTGGAGTTCAAGGGTGTGATGAGCAAGGGTTGTACCACTGCACTCCAGCCTGGGTAACAGAGTGAGACCTATCTTTAAAAAAGAGAAAAGAGCCGGGTAAAGTGGCTCACAAAGTAATCCCAGTACTTTGGAGGCCAAGGCAGGAGGATCACGAGGTCAGGAGTTCGAGACCAGCCTGACCAATATGATGAAATCTCATCTCTACTAAAAATAAAAAATTAGCCAGGCGTGGTGGTGTACGCCTTTAATCCCAGCTACTCAGGAGGCTGAGGCAGGAGAATCACTTGAACCCAGGAGGCAGAGGGTGCGGTGAGCTGAGACCGTGCCATTGCACTCCAGCCTGCGTGACAAGAGCAAGACTCCGTCTCAAAAAAAAGAAAGAAAAGAATCCAACCTGGGCAACATAGTGATATACTCCGTCTCTATACATGTCTGCATATGAATAAAGTTTTAAAAAACGATAAAAATAACTTGTTAGTTTAAGTCTCTTTCCACTCTGATTCCCCTCCTTCCCCCTCCCGTCCAGTTGGATGGTATTGGACTGGCTGTGGGTATTTTGGGAGAAGTTGGAAATAGTTCAGAATTCAGGGATATTTCATGTGGTTCACAGTTCTATCCATGCATAGCTCAGTCATTGCTGGGGTCCGGAGGGACAGATGGCTTCCAGGAACACACCCACCAATGAATGAATGAATGAAGAATGAATACAATGATCATGATGGAAAAAGATTTAAATTTCTTGCTGATTTGGCATCAAATACTGACATCAACAAAGACAACATAAGACTCAGAACAGGTCCCTGTAATGAGAGCATCAAAGCCTCGCTTGGTAACCAGTGTGATCCATCCAAGGAGCATTTAAGGTCAGGTCCCATAAGAGCAAACTTGACATAGCCATGCCCTGAACTCTTACTGCTACCATATAAAAGAAATGTGATCAAAGTTTGTATTTTCTCTATAGAAAATGGCATTACAAAATCCTTGATGTACAAGGAAGCGATCAGGTATAGAAAACATAGGGAGGCCAGGTGCAGTGGCTCATGCCTGTAATACCAGAACTTTTGGAGGCCGAGGTGGACAGATCACCTGAGGTAAGGAGTTTGAGACCAGCCTGGCCAATGTGGTGAAACCCTGTCTCTAGTAAAAATACAAAAATTAGCCGAGCATGGTGCGGGCATCTGTGATCCCAGCAACTCGAGAGGCTGAGGCAGGAGAATCGCTTGAACCCAGGAGGTAGAGGTTTCAGTGAACCGAGTTCGCACCACTGCACTCCAGCCTGGACCACAATAACAAAACTTCACCTTAAAAAAAAAAAAAAAAAAGAAAGGAAAGAAAAAGAAAAACAGGCCTGGCACGGTGGCTCATGCCTGTATCCAGCACTTTGGGAGGCTGAGGCAGGTGGATCACCAAATCAGGAGTTTGGGACCATCCTGGCCAACATAGTAAGACCCCATCTCTACTAAAAATATAAAAATTGGCTGGGTGTGGTGGTGCACATCTGTGGTCCCAGCTACTCAGGAGGCTGAGGCAGGAGAATTGCTTGAACCAGGGAGGCAGAGGCTGCAGTGAGCCGAGACTGTACCACTGTACTCCAGCCTGGGCCACAAAAATGACACTTAGTCTTAAAAAAAAAAAAAAAAAAGAAAAAGAAAAAAACATAGGGAATGCATTGGTGGTCAACGCAGAGGTGGTCAAGCGGGTGATACAAAACGCCCTGTTATGTTTCTGAGTGGCTTGATATTTACCAACCTTCTAAAATTTGTAGTGTCATTTGTATTCTTCTTCTAATGGGCAGTAAAACTTCACTGTCACACCTAATTTTGGTTTTGTAATTGTGTTTGTGTCTTGCTTTTAAGGCAGAGTCTCGCTCTGTCCCCCCAGCTGGAATGCAGTGGTACAATCATGGCTCATTGCAACTTCTACCTCCCAGGTTCAAACAATTCTCCACCTCAGCCTCCCGAGTAGCCGGGATTACAGATGTGTGACACCATGCCTGGCTAATTTCTTCTATTTTAGTAGACACAGTTTTCACCATTTTGGCCAGGCTGGTCTTGAACTCCTGACTTTGTGATCCACCTGCCTCAGGCTCCCAAAGTGTTGGGATTACAGGCATAAGCCATCATGCCTGGCCGGTAATGTCTTTTTCTAAATCAAAATGACAAGTGTACAGTCTCAGCCAATGAGCAAGGTGCTGGGATGAAGATGGGGCCTAACACTAGCCTTGTCGAGGGGTCTTCCAAAATAGCTCCCTCCCTCAAGGCCACCCAAATGGGTCCCTGTGGGGAAGAAAGGGCCCTGCCATGAGGGAAGCACAGGCGGTTCCACATCACCAGACACCCACAAGACACCCATGCAGGGACAGGCACCCACATCCCAGGAGGAAGAAAGGGCCTCCTGGGGCCCAGAAGGGGCACAGCAGAGGGCATCCTGCAGCTGGCTGGCCCTGACCCCAGCTGGAAGGAAATGGGAACCCGAAAGGAGCCAGGGGTTTCCCAGGAGCCGCGTGTCCATGGGGAGGGGACCACAGTTCCACCGACCTCCAACCTGGTCAGACCCCATCTGGGCACAGGGAGTGCAGGCTGGGCAAACCCCCCATGGAGAAGGGTCTGGAAGCCACGCTGGATGTCACACAGGACCAGGGATGTCTTGGCCTGCAGAAGGGGAGGCGCTGCAGCCACAAACCCCCGTCCACACCTGCCGGAAATGCTGGGGAGAAGGACCTGGTGACAACTTCCCAGGGAAAGGCCTGTTCACCAGGCCAGGCTGTGGCAGTGGGGACCACAGCGGAGGGGGTGAGCAGGGGGCCGATCCTCGGGGCCTCCGGCAAACCAGGGACCCTGTGGGGAGGGGCTGGCAACCCGGGAAACCTCTCCTTCCTCCAGCCCGCCTGCTGGGCTTCCAGGTCTCACCTGGGAACCTGAAGTGAAGGGAGAGGAGAGTCCGGCAGGGTCTTCTCTTTCCAGGTGCTCTCAGCGGTGCCTGCGCCACCATGGGGCTTCCTTAACACCCACAGAGTTGAAAGAAAGGGAGAACCCGGATCCGAACCACCTGCCCTCTTTCCTCCACCCACCAGCCAGCTCCTTCCTACTTAGGGCCAAACGCAGCCTCAGATTCTGACCTTCACTTTCTACGAGTCGGTGTGACCCAGGTCCTACTTATCTTCAATTAAATTTAGTGGAATCACCGAGGTGCCTTTTTCACCTGTGCATTAAGAGAAAGGGCTCCACCTTCATGCATTCATTCAGCAGATTCCCGGGCTTGGGCCTAAGCACCTGCAAAGAGGAAGGGGGGCCTTCAGCAGGTCGGGGGAGGGGAATCGAGGGGCTACACTGAGCTCCCATCTACCTGGAAGCGCAGACACTTCCAGAGTCTCCCCAGGCAGTGTGGCTGATCCTAGATTTCAACCCCAGCCCCACCTCCATTGGCCGTCTCACCTCAAAACAGCAACTTCCAGCCAGGCACAGTGGCTCACGCCTGTAATCCCCGCACTTTGGGAGGCTGAGGCAGGCAGATTACAAGGTCAGGAGCTCGAGACCACCCTGGCCAACATGGTGAAACCCCGTCTCTACTAAAAATACAAAAATTAGTCAGGCGTGGTGGCGGGCACCTATAATCCCAGCTACTTGGGAGGCTGAGGCAGGAGAATCGCTTGAACCCAGGAGGCGGAGGCTGCAGTGAGCCCAGATCGTGCCATTGCACTCCAGCCTGGGTGACAGAGCGGGACTCTGTCTCAAAAAACAAAAACAACAACGAAAAAAATCAGCAACTTCCCATCTCTGAGTTTCCTCATCTGCAAAATGCAGACATAATAGCACCTGCCTCGCAGGGTGGCTTAGAGAGCGGACTCAGCCAAGTACCTGGCAAGGGTGATTCCTTCCCCACCTTAGATCACCTCTTCTTGCCCTCACCCCCATTCAGTGGCTATGCCCAGCAGTTGGTGGCCCAGTGCCCAGAAGGGGGTTGGAGGAGGCAGAAAGGCTTTGGGGACCTGGGACCAGGCCCTGACCAAGGGCCTCCCGCCCACTCCCAGGCCAGCTGCTCCTGGCAAGTGCCCGAGTCTCTGTCCCACAGGCAGCTCCGAGATGGCCTGGCCCCATGCTCCCTATGTGACACACAGTCAGCAGACACTGGGAGGAAAGAAAGGCAAAGGGAAGCCCAGGGGAAGCAGGGACTTGGGCACAGGCTCCCTGACAGGAAGAAAAAGCCCCAGAACACTTTCCTTTTGCCCCAGGGGAGTTTCCTGAGGAGGAGGGCTTCTGATAAGTGAAGCCTTCAGTCACCTGTGCCTGCTGGAAAGATCTTGGTCCTAGCCAGGGGTGGTGGCTCACACCTGTAATCCCAGCACTTTGGGAGGCAGAGGCAGGTGAATCACCTGAGGTCTGGAGTTCGAGACCAGCCTGGCCAACAGGGTGAAACCCCATCTCTACTAAAAATACAAAAAATAAACCAGGCGTGGTGGCGGGCACCTATAATCCCAGCTACTTGGGAGGCTGAGGCAGGAGAATCGCTTGAACTCAGGGCAGGTGGAGGTTGCAGCGAGCCAAGATTGCGCCATTGCACTCCAGCCTGGGTGATGAATGAAACTCCATCTCAAAAAAATAAAAAATATAAATCATGGTCCTGAGATCCAAAAGTGGTTTCTCCCTTCCTCTGATTCCATTCTGAAAATGGAGGGCAGCCTGGGATTATTGTTTATCAGCACACCCCTGGGAGATTTCTGGTCCTAAAACAGCATCTCACCTGTAATCCCAGCTACTCAGGAGGCTGAGGCAGGAGAGTCGCTGGAACCGGGGAGGTGGAGGTTTCAGTGAGCCAAGATCACGCCATTGCACTCCAACCTGGACAACAAGAGCAAAACTCCATCTCAAACAGCAACAACAACAACAAAACACCCAGCATTTCTTCAGTGTTGCAGGGTGTTTTGTACAGAACAGACCTTCGAGTCCAGTGACTGCAGGAAGTCTCTACGTTCCCGAGGAGCCGTCTCCTGGAGAAAGCCGTTCCCACTCAGAAACCGGATTGTAAATGCTGTCGAGCTTCGGGGAACCGCCCAAAAGCTGCTGAAGTCTGAATGCCGCTGAGAATCTGTACATGTGAAATGAAAACAGTAGAAATCGATACTAGTTGCAATACTAGTAATTTCTAAGCCGAAAAAATAAATGGTTTTATTCATCTGACTTCAGCTGCTGGAGAGAGAAAGGTAGTTTTCATCGGAGGAGGCCCAGGGGAGCGGGAGGCCTTCTCATTCTGCTTCCTTGGGCCCCTCTCCAGCCTCGGCCTCTCAGCCTGGATGGGACACCCCAGCCCCTTGTCTACTCCTGGAAGTTTCTTATAAAGCCTTCCTGGGACAGATTCACACCTGTAATCCCAGAACTTTGGGAGGCCAAGGCGGGTGGATCACTTGAGGTCAGGAGTTTGAGACCAGCCTGGCCAACATGGTGAGGCTAAGGAAGGAGAATCACTTGATTTCGGGAGGCGGAGGTTGCAGTGAGCCAAGATTGTGCCAGTGCACTCCAGTCTGGCCGACAGAACAACACTCCATCTCAGAAAATAAATAAACAAATAAATAGGCCAGGCGCGGTGGCTCAAGCCTGTAATCCCAGCACTTTGGGAGGCCGAGGCGGGTGGATCACGAAGTCAAGAGATCAAGACCATCCTGGTCCACATGGTGAAACCCCGTCTCTACTAAAAATACAAAACATTAGCTGGGCATGGTGGCGCGTGCCTGTAATCCCAGCTACTCAGGAGGCTGAGGCAGGAGAATTGCCTGAACCCAGGAGGCGGAGGTTGCGGTGAGCCGAGATCGCGCCATTGCACTCCAGCCTGGGTAACAAGAGCGAAACTCCGTCTCTAAAAAAATAAATAAATAAATAGAGCCTTCCTGAACGCCTGGACCTTCTTGGTGGGCTCAGCCCGTCATGTTGGGATGTGACTTAGAGTGGATATCAGCCTGCGCCCCACATGGTGGGCACCCAGCACAGGGCCGGCCCACAGCAGTGCCCTGGAGAGTTTGTTGAATGAGGGAATGAGTGACCTGAAATTCCTTGTGGATCATCGAAGGGGCCTTCTGGACCCCTGTGAGAATTAGAGGGGCTGGCCTGGGATCTTTGCTATCCCTGAAACTACGGCAGTCAGACTCTGACCCAGGTCTGCACAGCTGTGCCATTATCCTTCCCAGCCCTGGGGCAGCGGAAGAGCCGGCCTAGCCACAGGGCAACGGGAAGAGAAAGTAAGAGTCAGTGAGAATAGACGGCGAGCTGAGAGGAGAGGGCAGAGCTTTCCTGAGGCCTGAGGCTGGGTCAGGGGGAGCCCCCTGAGAATCCCCTGCAGCTGCCCTGACCCCTGCACCCCACCTCTGGAACCTCAGTGGGGGCAGCTCCAAGACCAGCCTCCAATTGCTCTGGCTAGCGGAGAGGGTGGGGGTATGGGGTGCCTGGAGGGCCTCGATTTCTGGCTCCTCGCTTCCCCACTGCTGCTCCTCCCAGACCTGTCACCACCATAGACTTCCTTATCCATTACCGCACACTCCTCCTCTCCCCTTGGGGACCCTCCTTGTTCTCTGTGACTTTCCCAAACCCTGCTCCCCTCTAAAGGGACCTACACAATTGAGAGGATGAATAAAGATTAAAGGCAAAACAACTACTTTTCTTTTTTTTTGAGACGCGGAGTCTCACTCTGTCGCCAGGCTGGAGTGCAGTGGCAAATCTCTGCTCACTGCAACCTCTGCCTCCCGGGTTCAAGTGATCTTCCTGCCTCAGCCTCCCAAGTAGCTGGGACTACAGGCATGTGCCACCACGCCCAGCTAATTTTTGTATTTTTAGTAGAGTCAGGGTTTTACCATGTTGGCCAGGCTGGTCTCGGACTCCTGATCAGGTGATCCATTCACCTGCCTTGGCCTCCCAAAGTGTTGGGATTACAGGCATGAGCCACCATTCCCGGCCTTTTTTTTTTTTTT